TTCATAACAACAAGACCTCCACTCATCGCACGAATTACTGTAGCCCACAAACTGGATTTTAACATTCTTTATAATTTTCGATCTTGGCGTTTCTTTCTAACATTTTTCGGCTTAATAACTTCAGTAAAACATTCATTAATGGAGAGTTTCGGTGGTTTTCTTTGGAGTACTGATTTCAGCGACTCCATGTTGACTATCACATCGACATCACATCACGAACGCGTTACTTCCCGCGAAATTTGATACTACAGCGCAAGCGTACTAGTGAAAAAAATGGTCGAGCGTACCTGGACACGAGTGAGAGCTAAATGTTCACGATGTATGTCAATAAGTTTGATATGATTAACAATCCTGGAATTAAAAAACAACAAAATCACAACCAAAAACTGACAACAAGTCCAGACAATCAGACGTGTGTCCCCACCGGTGGGAGACTCCCTAATAAAAAAGGGCGGGGCTTATCGTCGGAAATTCTGAAAATATAATGACCCGTAAAAGGGACCTGTATTGTGAGATGATGGGCGTGGCAGTGCTGAAATTTTGACCAATCAATAACAGGTCACTTTGTTTGGTTTTCCCGATTTTATTTATATTTCTGCACAAGCATCAAATACCGTTGGCTCGTATTGAGATCAATCATCTAATTAGCAGTCGTGGTTGTTGTTGATCTTACAATGACGGCTCAGGGTCGTCGTGTACCCACGTTATTCCTTGTTACTTCCACACAGATGAACGATCAAGAGTTTGATGCTTCGAGTAGCAAATCCCTCGAGCTACGAATATCACATCACTGAGAAAGGAACAAAATTTGTCCAAACGGTCCACATCGACAGGAAAAACAGCTCGAATTATTCAAGTCACCGGCACACAACGGGAATGCAAATTCCGACTATATGTTTGACAGGGATTTAGGAAAGTGCAACGAGGACAGGGTTTTCAATATCCTTTCATTTCCCTTCCTTGTCTAAGGCTGCTGTCTCTCTTGAATTTAATTAATCAACTTGATTAAAATGAGAAAGCAGGGAGCTCAATAAAGACTTTTATAATCACTGGTTCAGGCTGTTTATAGAGAGGCTAGCTTTTTCCAGAAGCAGGGCCATAACCAGAACTTCTACCGTGGGGATTCACATGTGATAAAACCGGACCATTTTAATTATTGGCCTTTTTTATTAGTAGTTGTCAACTTTTCAGTATACAAATTGATTTAAAATCTAAAACAAAGAATCTCTTTAAAAACATAAAGATAGATGAGCGGATCTTCAGCTTCTCTGCACTCCCCTTGGTTACGGACCTGAGAAGTAGATCTGCTCTTTATCAATTTTCTAAATATTTATAATCTATATTTAATGCTATATATGTATTGCTCCGCTTATCTGTTTTTCATACAATTTGGTGATTGGTGGTTTCTGTACGCACACTATTCTCTTTACAGTCAACTCTCTCGTAAGCGACCACCTCGGGATCAGGAAAAAGTGGTCGCTTACGAGAGATGATCGCTTACGAAAGAGGGTTTTTTTACAGAGTTTATTTGGGAAACAATCATAACGGGAAATTTAAAAGGTGGTCGCATACGGGATATGGTCGCTTACGAGAGTGGTCGTTCAAAGAGAGTCAACTGTATTTGTTGACTTTGAAAACGTCGTGACGTCATAAAGAAATAAGCATGTCTTGCCTGTACAGGTAACCCTCTTTTATCTTGCATTGCGTCATACATATATATATAATGGACCTTCGACAAAGACTGATCATAGAAAAAGGCAATCCTTCTTAATTCGTGCTTCAAAAATACATTTTTTAACTCGTGGTAATATTTTGAATCCCTGATTACAATGAACGGTTTTCAACAGTGTTAGACTCCTAAAAACTCGGCTAAATTGTGTACAGGATAAGCCAAGACAAAATCAAATATGATTTTTTTTATATTTAATAAAAATACTTTTACAATATTATTAATTGAAATTATCTAGTATGAAGAATCTAAATAGAACAAGATTGAAGTCAGGGGTAACGCAGGGTGCACATCTTCTCGATGTCAGAAAATGGCGCGTTTACACTTGCGATTTGTGCAGCGCGATAATCGGCACTTTGCTATCGCGCAACTCAAATCGTTTTTATAAACAGCCATGAGATTGTTGCGGCGATGAAAAATTGCCTCGAATTTGCAGCCAATTCGCAGCATGTTCGAAAGTTAGGCGATTGTCGCGCGACGTTCACCGCGAGAAGCGCTCTGCAAAAATCGCAAGTGGAATTAAAAAAAGAACAAGAAACCACATTTTGATAGAAAGCATGCACTTTAAAAGACAAGGTTGCTGTGGACGTCAAAACAAAGCTTCCTAAGGAAATTATCGTGAAATAAAATTTCACCCGAAATGGCTGCCATGCACTAATCAAACAGGCATCTGGTAATTCTTCGTTGTCAAGTTACGTCACAGCGGTCATCTTTGAATAACTTAAACAAATAATTTCTAATTGTTATCTATTGATCATTGCTCCAACATGGCTGCCGGTCTTGTATCTTTTGGATCTCATGGGTATGGTAGTTAACGGTCAATTTTATAACAAAGTTTGTTTAGGGCTCATAATAATGGATCTCTTTACTTTTATTGTTTTAACAGTTGAGGCAAAAGAACACTAATTATCAAGGAAATTAAAAAAAATTGGATACGAGGTAAAGAGGTCTTTTTTGACATGATAACATATA